GCCCCTGCCGCTGCTACCACCCCAGCCTGGTGGTCCTCATCCCTTCCCAGGACCTGGGGAGCTCATGGAAAAGCCTTCAATGGAGGAGCTGGAGGCTAGTAGTAAGTTGCTGAGCTTTGGGGATTTTCATGCTGTTCAGCACTCTGCCTAGCTTGGCTGAGCTGAGCGTGAGATAAAGCAGATCCTGACCTGGGGATGGGGAGAAAAACTTGGAGGGAGACCTCCTCTGCAAAGCCCCCGTTGAAACAAGCATGGCGTGCCGCCCCACACCACCTACCTCTGCGTCTCGGCAGACCTCCTCGTAGATGGTGTGGAGCGGTGTGGTCTCAAAGTCCAGCAGATTCGTCGAAACTTGGGCTATATTCTCTTCCTCCAAATACCAGCCAATGCCCTGCACCTTCTTCAAGCGCCCGGGCTGCCAAGACCCGCTGCGGTCAAGGCACAGCCTGGGAGGTGCGGGGGCAAGCAGGTCTGTGCCCGGCACGCCGCCAGCATGGGGGTACCTGGTCGGCACCGCGACCCTGCTCGCGGATGTTGAGGGCGATGCGGTGAGCCAGCTCCTTGGTGCACAGCAGGTTGATGTTGTATGCGATAAGGAAGGTCCGGGCGCCCGTCACGGTGGCCCCCCAGTGGGGAACAAAGGTTGGGGGCCCAAAATCGGGAGCCCACTCTGGTTTTGCAAGCTGGAGAGGAGGGAGGAGAGCACGTGGGCCGGCACCGCTGAGCAGCACAAGCCACCTGCCCGAAGACAGCATCTCCCTCCCCAGCTGGCATCTGCCACAACCACCTCCATGTTCAGCAGCACCCAAAGCATTTCATCAGCTCCTCTTGGAGTGAAGGGACTATGTGAGCCCCTGGCACCTTCCCCAAAGCCGGGGAGGTGCAGCTCTGCCCAGCCCGTGCCTCCCAGCCGGGTGCTGCTGGGCTCACCTTCTCAGGGAGCGCCTCGTACTCCCCGGCACGGATGGCAGGCAGGGCTTTCCTGCTCTCCTCCCGCGCTGCCTCTCCGTACAGGTAAACTGCAAGACAGAGCACAGGGTGAGCACTGCCTGGCAGGGGCTAGCAGCAGGTCATCTAGCAGGGTCCATTTTTTCCCATTTGGTAGCAAACTTCATTTGGTTAAGCTTTTGCAAAAGGTGTGCAGTTTGTCCACAGCTGGAAGCACGCAGGGTGGGCTGGGACGGGCAGAGGTTCCTGGACAGGGACCCCCAGCTCCGCTGCCAACCGCTGCCCGAAGACATTGGCGCAGGTGATGCACTCCTCCATGCTCACGTTCATCACCGGTACAAAAGGGCAGACGTCCAGGGCCCCCATGCGAGGGTGTTCACCTGGTGGTGAGGCACATATAAGGATGGGAGCTGTAAAGAGCAAGCACACAAGGAGGGAGGACAGCCCTTTGCCAGCCTTTTTTTGCAGACTGGGCACTGCCGCCACAAGGAAAGTTGAGTTTGCCGCAGTAATGTCTATTCCAGCCCAGGGACAGGAGGGATTCAGCCTCTCTGGATCAGGAGGATGAACAAGAGCTTTGCATGGTCCCCCCACCATCCATCCCAGCAGCGCTGCTTGCTGCAGGTGCAGTAACATGCCGTGCTCGGCCACCAGCAGCTGATTTTTAGCTCCAGCCATGCAAGATGCACCCAGAGCCGACCACGCGCCACAGCCAAGGGATGCTCCGTGCCAGATCAGCTCCTGCGCCGCCCCCAAGCTCACCCGTGTGCCGGCTCATGTCAATGAGCTGCCCAGCCACGCGGGCCGCGCTCAGTGCCCCTTCGACAACGGCCTCCGGGGACCCCACGAAGGTGTAGACGGTACGGTTGGTGGAGGCGCCGGCGTCTACATCCAGCAACACACAGCCTGGCGTCCGGGAGATGGCCTGCCCCAGCGCATCGATCACCTGCCACGCAGCAGAGAGGGGCAAGGCGGCTGAGCCGGCCAGAGCCCTGCCGCAGCCACCGCTTTGCAAGGTGGGGAATGCCTTTTCTCAGCTCACTGGGGTTGGGGATGACCCCAAGATCAGTGGGGATGCAGCCCTGAGTATTTCTGCAGCTCTGCAGATCTTGCAGAGGATGCAGGATCCGAAGGCATAAGCATCCCACTCCTACCCAGGGGGCTGGGGACACCTCTGGCTCCCAGCGAGCCCCCAACCGCCGTGGTGGGGGAGAGATGCCCAACTGCTGCTGCACATCAGAGAGCACCATCACAAATTTCTGTTCCTGAGGATACTGTCCCCTACTAGCTTCAAAACAGATCTGGCTCTGTAAAGCCTGTTCCCTTAGGGGAAGCAGTGGTTTTATTGCAATTTTGGGTTTGCTGAACTCCCCCGCCCCCAGCCCCGACAAAGCTCAGCCTAGGGCTGATGCCCAGCACAGATCCCATTGACCTGGATGGCGCATTTCAGCACAACAACTGCAAGCGATATTTCTCTAAGGGGGTAAGCCAGACCACCCCAATCTCTGGTGCTACAACAACCTGCAGGCAGTGGGCAGGGGGAGGTTCTGAGCCCCCACTTCTCACTGAGGTGCCAAAAGGGAGCAGGGGCTGCCTTTGGGCATTTTTGGCATTAGCCAGTTAGGGAAAGCTGTGCAGTGCTTCAAAGGAGGCAGGGCTAAGTCTGGCAGTGGGTGCTGCCTGCAAGGCCCCTCCGCCGAGGCAGCCCAGCCACCTGCACCCCACATCGCCCACCCATCAGCCCCTCCTCGTCCTCCCTCACCTCCTTGTTAATCCCCTCCGAGAAGTTGGGGACACACTCCACTAGCTTGGCCATGGTCCCAGGGTCTGCCAGCACTCCGCAGCACCGTGCTCGGATCCTTGCGCCCTCTGGGTTTTCCTGCCCTTTCCTGTCCCACTGCAGGGCAAAATCCTCCCAGCACCCAACCCGTTGTCTCTTCCTCGAGCCGGGGTTTCTCATTAACCGCATTGATCTGTGGCCAGGAGACAGACAGGGTCTTGGACAAACAACAGGGTGCTGGCCCTTATGTGTCCAGAGCAGCTCCGGGCAAAAGAGCACTGCGTGCTCACAGGGCCAGCCTACAACACTAATTACTCACAAGTGCAAATTAATTGCTTGGAGAAAGAGATGATGACACATGAAGAAAAGCATCTTCTGTGCCCAGCACCATGCTGTGGCTAACGATGAGATAGACTGCTCCTGCCCAGGTTGCAGCAACAGGACCACTGGCACTGCGCGATGGTGGGGGACTGGTGCTCCCCAGGACCACCAGCATGGGCACCCCAGGCCCCCCATCGTGGGCACAGGGGTGGCAGGTA